GTATGAGAAAAGTCTGTTTCTAAGTGCACTGTGGTCACACTGAATGATCACAGCAGTTTGTTCTGGCCTTAAAATCCACAGCCTTATGAACAATAAGTGGCCTTCTGTGGATCAGGCTTTCAAAACAATAAAGTATCCTGTGACCTTGTTTTTTCTTGGCTTTGGGGCAGAAATCATTCTCAGGAATGCCAGAAACAGAGCCCTGTTCAAGTGGATGGTTTAATTAAAATCCCTTACAGGAATGGCTAGTGCAAATATCTATTTCCTCTGCAGGTGGAGCAATGAAAGCCCTGTACTCCTACAGCCCCCAGGAAGACACATGGTGCCTGGTGACTCAGTTCACCCACGAGAGAGCCAGTTGTGGGATTTCTCCTTGCAACAACAAGCTGTTTATCACCGGGGGCCGAGATGAAAAGAACGAAGTCATTGCAACAGTGCTCTGCTGGGACCCTGAAACTCAGAAGCTGACAGAAGAGTGTGTCCTGCCCCGGGGGGTGTCTCACCACGGCAGTGTTACCCTCAGGAAGTCTTACACACACATCCGTAAGATTGTGCCCGGGGCAGTTTCTGTCTGACCGCAGGAGAACTGCAAAGAAACCCGGTGGCTCCGTGGCACAGACTGCAGTGAGGATGGCTTTTAGCTGCAGGGAGCAGTGGGGGGGAAACACCTCCACAAGCCCTCTGGGGAGTGTCTGTATATTTGCTCAGCCCTTGCATTTCCTCTGTACAGTACATCCTTAAATTATCTTAATTCCTTCCCCCCACAGAAAAACCAGGGACCAGCTGTAGTTTACTCCTGCCAACACGATACCTCCAGTCAGGTGAAGAAATGTGATGTGTAGGTGGGAAATTTACTTCCCAGCTATATCTACCCTGAAATGTGCTTGAACTGGCTCAGCCTGGTCCCAGTGTTTCTTCAACTATTTATTGTGTTGGATTTGCTGCACCTAGTGTAAAAGAGAAGATGCTTTTTAGAATGACAGATTTGTACCTTTGGTGAAGCATTGTTTCCTCCAAAGCTGTGCTTTTCTTCCAGAGGTTGGCGCATTAGATTAAGTTTGAACCGGTTTGTGTGTTTGTTTGGTTTTTTGTTTGTTTGCTTGAAGATACTTAATTGGCTTTTCAGTTCTGGGTGACCAAAAAAAAAATCCACCTCAGTTTGCAAACCTTGCTGTCATTCCCAAGACAGAGACTGCACAGGCTGCAAATGTGAATGAACGCTAATCTGGTTTTCTAATAAAGCAGACTAAAACCTGGTTTCCCTTTTCTTGTGCTCTGGGGCTGTTCTGCCTGAAAGGCCTTTTCCTCTTCCCATTGCTGAACGCAAGAAGAGTCCGGAGCCCATCCCTGTCTCCATCCCCACTGGGTGGCAGTGCGCTCCCGGGATTTTTCTCACGGGTTTTGGTTTCCTGGAATGCAATCGGACAGAACAATCCGCTGGAGACGAAAACAGTTCCAGGTACTGTTCCCAGCCTGATTCCCGAGACCATCACGTGCAGTCACTGGAAGGGGCAAATGTTCAACAGGCCAGGAGGGCCCGAGTCTCAAGTCCCAGCATCTGGGTCATTATAGGCAAAGAAAAACAAACATTGAGGAGGTCATGCCCGGGACGCTCTGGGACGCTCTTGGCCAAAGACTGGGAACATATTCCGTCCCTCCTCCCCTGCCTAGTTGCTGGAAAGAGTCAACTCACTATTAAATCAAGACAGAAAACACTGGGCAAAACAAATCTCTCTAAGCAGAGAGCAGTGACTCCTTCTAGCCCCTCTCCCTCCCTTTCTGTAATGTCTCCTTTGCCTTTTACAGTATTAAAAATAATATTTCTGTCATGTTGGGCTAAGAAAAAAATGTAGGTTCCTGAATTTCAGCACAGTAACACCAGAGTGCTCTGTGGCACAGCAGGGCCTGCAGACCTGGTGCAGGTTGAGCAGGGCAGACACAGCCCATGGGGCAGGTGGCAACCCTACAAAAGATCTCCACTGTTCTTCCTTCAGAAAGACTGCAAGAAATCCTGTATATTCTGCAATTTGCCCCATGCCCTGAACTTACTTCTGTAATTCCAGACTATCCCCCATTTCTTTCACTGATTTTCCCACAGTCCTTCCATTTTCAACTACTTTTTAATTGCTCCCCTTCCATCTTGACATTCCTATCGTTCTGCAGGGTGAGCACTTCTTACACTTCCATGCTGGCCCACACTTTCCCATCCCACTCTGCTTTTCAGAAGGCATGAAGAAATACCCTCTAAAAAGGGTATTTTGTTTCAAAAGGTTTTTGTGAAGAACAGTTACCACCTTTGACTTGGCTAGCAGCACTGGCTGGTCTAGAGGGACAGAGAAGGTGGATGAATGGGTCCCCTTTCTCTTTGGTAAAACTAATGATAGTAGCTACTGAGACTGAATAGTTCTTCCTACTGGGAATCATCCTAAAAAACAGTAGCCCTAAGGAACTGGTGGATGATTTTCATGTCCATAGCAAAACTTGTATTTTTTTTTCTGGAGGAAAACAAACCACTGAGTTAGAAAAGAGTTGTCCAAATAAACAAATTCTTAACTCTACATATCAGCATCAGAAAACAAGCCTCTTGCCTCTTCTGTGGTGGTTTCCCAGCCACATCTGCAGACCTTGGGCAAGCACGAGCCAAAACATCCCTCACTGACAAACACGAGACAGCACAACCACAGCTTGGCTCCTTTCCCTCTCCTAACTCACGAGTTGCTCAAAAATTCTGACGTTTTAATAGCAGTGCATGAAGAGTTGTGTTTATTTTCCTCCCTGCTCTTTGTACTTTTTGGATTCGTGTTGCAATCTGAAGGACTCGAAGCATATTGAAAACCAAAAAACTTTAGCATCACTAGTTCTGTGCAGATGCCAAAAATCACAAGCCTTCTGAAAAAATGGCAAGAACCAGCAGTGCTGGACCCTCAGTTACCAGCAGTGAGGTGGGGATGGAAACAGAAGGCAATAGAAATCAAGTTTCAGGGAAACTTGTAATTTCCTTTTCCTATCAGGGGCTCTCTCTCATCTGTCATGCATAACCTCCTCCAGCGGGGACTGGCCACAATCACGGTTTCTGTCCAAAGAACACACAGTATCTGCATGTACAAACAGCGACTAATGAAGCAAGGAGCAGCCTCTCCCCGCGGGAGCTGCCGGATCTGTCCCAGGGAAGCTGGTGCTGTTCCACAGGGATGGGACACAGCCCCGGGGCTCTCGGGGCTGCCCCCAGAGCAACCAGGCAAATGCCACCTCCCTTCTGCCCTATTACTATATTAAACTTCCCGTAGAAAATGACACAGCTAAGTGATGGAGCAGAAGCAGACACTCCAATATTAATTACTAGAACTGCAGGAGGTTAATTAGTTTTACTGAACAGTTACTGAAATCGCTGCAATGAACTGTACCCCAAATCCAAGTGCTTGTTTACCTGCCTGGAGCTCCTCCGTATCTCCTGACACTGAAACTGATCTCCCTGGAGGCACAGACCTATCTCTGATGTAATGATGTCTCCAGTGTTGTATGGCACAGCCCTAGCCCCTGGAATGCAGGTCTGACTCCCTTCAGTCTGCAGGTTACAGACTGCAAACTGCACTGCAAATCCAACCCAGAGAGGGGAGAGAGCAGTGCTAAACGTAGTGACAGTGTTGGCACAAGAAAAGAGGGGAAAAACTGAGCAGGAATATATTTAAGCTATAAATTAGAATACTTCTAGTGATTCATGGTATTGCAATTCATTAAAGGATTACTGCCCCCAGCTGCCAAATCACATGTTAAAGCCAACTGCTCTCCATGTCACTTTAAATTAAAATGCTGGGCTGGCACAGTGACATCCAAGAAGTTCACTTACATTACCGGGGAGAGGTCGATTGCTGGGCTCTGGTAAATAGGCCCAGTTTGAATTTCCAGAGCTTATGTGGAGACATCCTTACAAGGCTGGTGATCACTACAGCCATGAGGGTCTGGAAAACATGGAAGCCTAACAATCTTTGAGACAAAACTCAAGACATGTATGAAAAGCATTAGAGGAACTTTGTGCTTGTTGTGATGCCCTGAGGAGTCCTTTGGTCCTATTCAGATAGATTGGGGAAATCCCCGAAGGCAAATGATTCAGGGCAATGGTGTGTTTCCTGTGCACACTCTGTAATATACTGCTTTTGAACCAAACAGCACAATAATATTCCCTGGGAAGAAGTTGTTTACAAGGAGTCACTTAAGAAAAACTTACCTATCTAATGTTAAACCACTTTAACATGGATGAATAAAATATCAGCTTGCAGTGATCTTTCTTAGAAGGTCATTTCCACAAAGCAATGTTTTGTTTACCTGGTTCTTATGATACCACTGTGGGTAGAATTCATATATACATAAACTTGACACAATCCCTGGTTCACTTGCTCTTTCAGTGTCCTTTATGTTACCAAACTTTCAGTTGTATCTTAATATATATGTAAGAAAGACAGAATTGGCAATAGAATCCTGTCCAGGAGATTAACTTCATAATTGGCAGGAAGATCAAGCACTATTAACCCGCAGCTATGAAAAGTCACTTATGGCTCTGTATAGCATTACCTTACCTTATATTATCTACACAGTTATTTATCTTCACCCCTTATGATGAAAATTTCCAAGGTAGAAAAACTTGAAAGGACTTTGCATGGACAAAACCAGCTCTAAGTTAACAGCATCATTTGCTGTGAATGGGCACTGGCATAAAAATTGGCCCAGGATATGCACCCTAGGCATTTACAGGCACCTCTTCCATTCTTGATCTTTCCACATGCCAAAGGGATTTAGCAGAAAGCACCTGATTTAGTATGCAGCCATTTTCCCCATCCTTCCTAGGGTTATGGAAGATCCCTGTTACAGACTGAATGTGAAGTCTTTACACAAATGCAGTTTCTGTGGCAAATGTCTATGGTACATTCGTCTTGGAGAAAAATAAAAGAATCCAGTAAAAAGTGACTTCTAGATCCTTTTATTGAAGAGGATTGAGAAGCACAGGACCACGGTTAAAGCAAATATGCAATATTACAGTTTATTCACTTGCAACAACTTTGCCTTAGAGATGCTTCTTACACAAGAAGTGTCCCTTAGCAGCAAAGCCTCTCTACAGTGTTCCTGCTCATTGCCCCATCTCTGTACTGGAATTTGTTGCCCCCTCAGTTGTGCTGATGCAGCTGTTTGCAGAACATCCTATAAAACAGATCACTGGGATAATCTCAGTTAAAATAAAAACAACACCAGTTCTCTTTGCAGGGATATTTTTAACCTGCAATCCCAGAAGCAGTTGCATCAGCAAGCAGGAGAGAGCAGACACTGCAATGTGAGGAGAGTAACAAGCAGTTTGGAAATGACGGGAGAAGATCAGCAGGAACTGCTCAAACTGGCTCCATTGCCGAAAACATTCCATGCAACCAGACACCGATCTCTTCCTGGCTCACACTTAGTGGAATTCTTCAGATGAGTGTGAAATAGCCAAAAGCCACATTCAGCACTTTTTCTGTACAATTTTAAGCAAACAGAAGGTGAAGAGAGACTGCACATAAGGAAAATACTGCACAGTGAAATCAAGGACCTTTTGTTTTAAGCCCACTGTATTTTTACATAAAATCTAACAAATTCTAAAAGCAATATCTTTAGGAATACAGAGTTCTTTTGTCGAGTCAAGGAACAGAATGGCAACTTAAATTTCCCACACTGATGTTTATATCTAATGAAATTTTGGTTTCTTTAAAGTCAGAAATATGTTTCACTTGTCCTCTACAGGTAAGGGGCTGATCTGGAAAACCTAAAAGGCTCTTACAACGTCTTGCACCAGCTGGCTCTGCAGCCTCTCCTCCTGGCCTTTCTAAGGCTTTGGTGGCAGGTACCCAGCAGCAGCTCTGGCAGGGTGCAGCTGTAACCTGAGATCAGGCTGCTGGAGAGGATTTTTGTGAGGCAGAGCTGGGAGATGCCTCAGGCAGGATCGGATGCGGTGTTCATGCTCAGTCCCTCTCCCCGGGCCCTGCTGGAGCCGCGCTATGGGTACATCTGTGCCCAGCCTGGCACCTCACTGCTCCTGCCCTGCTGCCCCTGCTGCAGCCTCAGCCTTGGCCAGGACCCCTCAGTGCAGCCTCAGCAGGGGTCAGGGCTCTGGGCTGCTCCAGGCTCCTCACAGCCCGCCCGGCTCCTCGGGCACCGGCACAGCAGGACACCACCCTGCGGGCAGGGAATGAGGGAACGCCAGGGAATGAGGGAACGCCACCTGCTGCCTCCGGCTCAGCCTCCCTCCCCGAGCAGCCCGTCCATCCCTGCAACCCCCGGCACTGCCACGTGCTGGGCTGCCCAGCAGACACTGATCAAAGGTGACTCCTGTCAGACAGAGATTTTAGAAGACTCCAGTGTTTTGCAATTGCCAGACAGAATCCATAAGGCAGCAAATACACCAGCACACTGCACAAGCTGAGGCACAGCCTTTCACTGGGTGCAGCAGTTTCCAGAGGCACCTCTGAGTTCACATTTCAAAGAATAGGACGTTGGCTACCAACCTTGCAAGAATCCACTGTGCATGAAAGGAATAGTTGTTCTGTTCACAGCACATTTAGTTAAGGATCCTCTGCTCTAGGTGCTGCTGTCAAGGGACCTGTGGTTACCCTCTCTGCTTTGCAAAACTTTTTGTTTTCTTCTTTTCCAGAAAGGCGTTTGCAACAGGTGGGTGAAAATGATCTTGTTTCAATATCTCCTCCCAAAGGTTCTGCCTTTCACATCAGAACAAAGCTTGTAACTTCATCCAGGGTATCATTTTCTGTATTCTCAGCCATGACATAATGAAAGATCTGTTGCCTTTTGGCACCAAGGAGGCAGAGTGGTCAACCCATGTCTTCTCCATCATGGGTTGATCACTTATTCTCCACTTCTTCAGAAGCTGAGTGATTTCCATCAGTCTTGCATGATAACAGGGTAAGGACAACTCCTCTGCTGTGACTGTGCTCTGCCTTGGCTCAGGATGGTGGTGGAGCAGGTGACACCATGCGAAGTTGCTTCCTCCTGACGATGGATTTGAGAGAGGCTGAGATCTCTCTGTATCGAAGCCCATATAGAAAAGGGAACAAAACTTTAGGAAGAATCGTCAGGACATTGCACACTGTCAGGGAGACCAAGATTCCTGTCTGCAGTCTGATGATAACATTAACACACAAGAATGATTCTACAAGAAGGGCCAAGAGTGGAAAGAAGTAAAAAAATAACACAGTGTTGTGCATTAAGAATGTTACACTGGCTCTGGAGCAGATGCTCTCCCATATACCCGAATGTTTGGTTTTAAAATACAGAATAGCATAGCAACAAAATATTACAGACAGGCAGAGAAAGATAACACTGGTAGAAAGCCAGAAGCAGAGTTTCAGAGCACCAGTCCCATTCAGAGTTAATATCAGGATTACTGGAACCGAGCACATCTCAAGGGCACAGGGCACAAAGGTGTGGGTACTCCATAGCACCAAGAAGAAAAGGGCAGGGAAAGCTCCAGAACACATCCATAGTAAAACTATGATTTTTTTAGTTCGTGAAGGGGGCAGAATAGTGACGTAGCGCAAAGGAAACAAAATAGCTACGTATGTGTCCAAGACTATGGCAGCAGCGGTGAACAGTCCTCCGCAGTAAGCCACTGCCAGCAGAAATAGCAGGAGCACACAAGCTTCCTTTGGGACATGCAGATGTGCTGCATTAAGAGCAGCCGACAGGGTGTAGAACAACAGGTAGGTCAGATCAGAGAGCAGAGCATTTCCCAGCAGCATGTACCTTGTTTCCTGACGGATGTTAAACCGAGAGAAGATCACGAATAAGATGGTAGGAATGATGAGGGCACCTGCCATGAGGCAGATGACTGGAGAGATTAAAAACATCTTCATGTTTGTGCCCGATGGGGTGAGAGACAATTCCTCCAGCAGGAAGTACAAAGTAGTATCATCCAGACCTGAGGAACTGTTGAATTCTATCTCTCTGAGGTGGCGTACAGTTGCGTTCGACCTCCTTACTGAGGCACAGCCAGGGACACCCATTTCCTTAGGATTTAGGGATGATTGCCTGACTTGAGGAAAGCAAGATGGATCTTCTACGTTGAGTCCTTAGAAAGGCAAATGAAGAAGAGGTTGCAAAAAACCCATGGAAGGAAAGTGATTTCTGTAGCCAATCCTACCGGCTCTTCTCAAGGACAGAAAGATGAAAATTGCAAGTGAGTTCTGTGGTGTCAAAAGATGGTTTGGCCTAAAGTGCAGATCTTATTTCTTTCTGCAAAATCTAATGTTTAAAAAAGAGAATGGATCTCTGGATGGTTTAAAAAAGACTAAATCCCTCAGCTAGCTCTTTGAACAGAAATGAATGGGTTGATCACTTTCAGTAATTTGAGTTTGTTCTCATCACATTATCACTCCAATGATGCAGGCCAAATATTGGCTTGATTAAACAAATATGCAATGATACAGATCAACATTTCACATGTACTGATGTAGGAGAGCCATAAATGTGACTGGATGGTTTTGCACCAATTTGTATGCAACAACACAATTGATTTGAAGATCAATTAAAAGGCTCTCAATACTGTTGTAAAATTGTAGCACAATGGCTCTAGTGAATGAAATTACCTTATTTGTAGATGAAAACCATTTTTGTTTCAGTGAATCAAACCATGTTATTCATGCATGATAAGCCTTCCCCTGCCTTTTTTCATGCATGGTGTACAAATACTGAACTCTCATCTATTGCAGACTTAGAGACAGTCTGAGAATTGTCTGGGATGAGTGACATACACTGTAATGTAGCAGCACACCCGACAGCAGACTTGGGCTTTCCAATGGCCACTTGCTGGCTTGCTGGCCAGGACACTGCTGCTTGTCTTGAATATCAGATCTCAGGATCAGAGCTGGGGGTGCAACGAGAGAATTGTGAGGGATCAGGATCTGGACTGCAGAGAAGGAACTCTTCAAGTTCTTCCAGGCATGGCCTGATCAGAAGAAAAGCTTTTTTTTATTATTTTGTAATAAGTAGCTCCTCACTCAACTTGGCCTTATTGTATTCATTATCTGCCCAGCACTACCAGCACATGGCAATGCAGTCTCTTTCCCTCCATGGGGGTCAGGGCACAGTTCAGCACACAGAAAGCTGTCTCAGGGCACGCCAAGTAACAAAGCAGACAGTTCATGGAACTCAGCATCAGTCACCAAGCCTTGTGCACATTTCACTTCCTTACACACTGATAGTTGGCATCCACAGAACTGGGTGTTAAGGCAGTTGACAGGCTGCACCATATGGAACAAAGGGACAGGAGGAAAAACCAATCATGATTTTAAGCACAGCATTTCAGTTGCTATGGTGCCTGGGGTAGGCAAAGCAGAAGGTGATTATTTTTGCTCACTCAGTCCTACATCCACTGAAAAGTATGTGAGCAATATGGATGCAATTATGCTTCAGGACCATGCCCTGCATCTATCACTGGTGATGATAACATAATACCTTAACTAGACAGTAGCACTCAGAACTGTTGAATTAGATTATTATTGCAAAATGGAAGGGAAATGATGAAAACTCAAGTATGCAAATCACCTCCAATTATAATTTCGGATCTCTGTTAATGGTGGAAGTGTTTGCCGCCTCCCAGCTCATGGCACTCCAAGGATATCCTGTCAGTGGGCAGGATTCTCTCATTTCTATTTAAATCACCACTGTATTTTCCACCATCTGGTTAGGATTCAGTGTGAGGAAACAAGAGTTCGTTGTCATCTCAGCTGCATACCCTTGGCTGTTAGAAAAATAAATCATAGAATGGTTTGGGTGGGAAGGGACTTTAAAGTTCATCCCATTCTAGGTGAGTGACTGCAGGTTCCCTCAGCCTTAACTGTGCTCGTCCTGAAAGGAACACAGGAAGGCTTTAGTTCGACAAAAATGGACAACAGCAAATTACTGGAAGACAGTTCAACCCCAGCAGATCTGGGCATGTCCAGCCAAATCCTCTCCCCTCAGTTTTCCACAGGGGCTTATAAATGTTCAGTACAGTTCTGCTAGATTTAAAAACGTGACAAGTTAGTGTCTTGGTACACTGAAATAAACCCAGAAATAGGTGGCTCCAAGAATATCTGGTTGTTGACTCCTCTCATTTTCTTGACCCTAGGAGGCATTTCCACATCTGGGCCATTTGCAAGGGGCTGGCAGCTCTGAAGATCACTCCTGAGGATTCTGAACTTAGAGAACCCCTTGCCATTGCATCTCAGCGTTCGATATTTTGTGGTGCCAACCTGAATGATTCTCCTGTAAAATTTCCTGTAAACTTGGCCTTAATGCTCTGGTTATTGATTTTTTAAAATGCTTCCTGGTAAATTTATGTGGACACACTTTTTACATATCTTGCTGATGCAGACATACAGTATTAGCAGTCCCCCTTCTGGCTCAATACTGTCTGCATTGATTTTCAAACTGAACCACGCACTGTTAATTACTTTACTCATTTCTACTTCAATAAACATCCTGCTGATAGCTTAGTTATCTTATCTGATGAGTCTGGGAGGTCTCAGAAAGAATGCATCCAGCCACACTGTAAATCCAGCAAAGGCTGCACTACATTATATTCTGTTACTGACTATAAACAGGTATTGCCAAACTGAACAGGAAAGGTTAGAAATATTGCTGTCTTACAGCACTTGGTGTGGACTTATCTGTGTTCACACAGAGGGAAGCTTCCCACCTCACAAACAGTTTAGCCTGACCAACTGAACAAGTCAACAAGCACTGTGCAAGAAAGGGAAGCAACGTAAGATTTCCCCAGCCCTCCATCCCAAGAGGCCGTGTTAGAAGGGGATGCCCAGAGGAAGTGTGTGACTGCACTGCATGCTCACATTCCCCGCTGAGGCTCCCTGAACCATCACATCTCAGTCTCAGTGTGACCACGGAGTTTGTGAAGTGGCTGCCTCCCCCAGCACCACCCCCCAGGTCCCAGCCTACAAACTGATCCGTGCTGTGGGTCTGCCCCAGACCCTGGGCTGCCTGGCCAGGAGTCCACGAGCAGGGTAAAAAGGCTTCCTTGGTGTCCACCACAGATCCTTGAACCGTGTTTTGGATGAGACAGTTGGGTCCAATAAATCGACATTTCCACTGGAATTTTGTTTCACGGGGATATTCCCAGGTGTGTTTAGTAACAAAGCCTTGGCCTCAGGAGCCTTCATGTGCTGTTACAGTTTCTTCAGCTTCCCCCAAGAATGCCCCCCTTCCAGGCTTATCCAGGTTCAGAAAGCACCTCCCTTGCTGGTGAAGCTCCCTGAGCCAGGAATAGCCAAGTGCCCAGGAACAAACCAGCTCCTCCCAGCAAGGCAGGGAGAACCAGACTTCCTGCCTGTATCCATCTTCTCACTCTGGGGAAATGAGCTGCTGCTGTCAGTGAAAAAAGTAATCAGAGCAGTTTAACTGTGCTGTTTTTCTGGTTGAGCCTTCCCTTTTCCTTCTCCTTTACATAGAAAGTCAATTAAAAGACAACTTTTTTTCTAAACCTGTAAGATTCCCTCCTTTCTGCAAGCCACAGGGGAAAGGTGTAACTTATCCATGCCCCAGCTATCTGTCCCCACATGGGTCCAGAAGAATTGTTCAGCCCTCCCTTGCTATTTGCTGTAGATAAGAGACACACACATTGCTCTTGTGACTGTACAAAGTTCATGAATCGGGCATGGCAATTACTAAAGTTAAGGAAGTAAAGAGATGGGTGTGAAAACTAAGCTCAGATTACAGTGCTTGAAAAGGAAAGCTGACACAAAAGAAAACAGGGATTAGAGAGTGCTTGTTTGAAGACATTTTGATGAGGCTCCCAAACAAAAGAGAGGACATTGGGAGAGACTGGGAGGACTCAGCATTTAATCCCTGTACCACTTTTTCTAATTCCGAATACCATCAAGCCATGGTGTCCACAAAGCCAAGGCAAAGTTTGCGCCAAATCTGCCTGGAAGGTGCAATATTAAGAATTAGGGTAGATGTCAGAAGAACAGAATTTTGTAGTATTTGACAAATACTTCAACAAAAGCTTGGAGAAGTACCACTGTAAGTCCCAGACAACACCTGCTTTCCTGCAGGGCACTGTGTGTCCCTGATTGCCATGAGCTGCAGCCAGCAGAACTCACCCATCTTCGTTCACTCAGCCTGGCAAGGCAAATCAAGACAGCTTTTCCTCCTCTGCCACAGTGATTTTTGTGAGCTGAAAGGACCTACCTGGTTGATCCACTGACATGTTTTCTGGTGACAAACTGCAGATGTGACTGGGGATTTATAGCAAGCTACTGCTTTCCATGGTCATTTATGGACAGACTCATGGGACACCGAGAGAAGCCCTCCTAGACTGTTTCTTAGATTTAATGATCTCTCCTGCCTACCTACTTTTCAAAACAATGCATTTGTGAAACAGGATGAACAGCCTACTAAATAAGGCCTATTTTTAAAATATTATCTTCTTTCCTGAGGTAGTTTCATTTGTAAGGAGAAACCTTGCTTAAGTTTTGAATGCTGTACAACACTGGTGCTAACAGGAGTAACCTGCAGAAATCTAAGGCCTTTAGATCAAGAACAATGACATATCACTCTTATCTGAGAATTTAGCGTCTATCAGAAGAGATTAAACCCGTATTCAATATCACACAGAGTCATGGGCAGAACTAGAAATACACATCTGAATTCGTGGCTTTTTGACTCCTCCTTTAAGACAGGGAGAAAAGCTCCTTCTCATGAGAGAAAGTTTCTCAACTAGAGGAGCTACACACATCCCCCAACCCCTTAGAACACCATTCCCTCTCAGGCTCTCTGTCTTTCTGGCGGTTGCTGGCACCAAAAGTTCCATGTCTCTATCCTGTCTCACCTGCAGTGGTCTCCAGTATCACCTAGGAAGGGCTGCTGCTGGCAGACAAAAGCAGAAGTTACCTGGCCATGTGCCTGTTTTAACAGGTTTTGTCTCCTGTAAAAAGCCAGGCAGTACAGGAGAGGTCTAGCATGATACTGCCTTGAAGGATGATTTACTGAGAAGGCAGACAGATGGCTGGAGAGTGCAAAATGCAAGTTAAAATGAGATACCAAAACAGAGATGGAAGAGGCAGGTTGGTTGGCATATACCGGCAGACAGACAGGGAATTTAATGGTGATGCAGCAGATAGGAGGACTCCAGCCCCAGCTGTGCACTGTCACAGTTCCTTCCTGACAGCTGGGAAGGGATTGCCTGCCCTGTACAACCTGGGGGGCAAAGATAATAGAGGAATCCAGAGGGAAGGAAACACTC